CAGCCACCATGTCAACTTCCCACTTTCGGCCACTACCGACTTACTACTTCCGGGCACCACACCACCACCGCCACTGAAAAGGTAAGTTTTTTTTTTATTCTGTTTTTTTAGGTTGGAAATTGTTGTATGAAAATGTGAAATTTAATATATGTTGTTTAATTCATATTTATAATTCTTTGAAAATGCATACTATGATGAATGATGAAATTTGTGGGCATGATTTGTTTGATTTGTATTTAGATTTGTACATATTTGTATGAAATTGGAATTGGATGTATTATATGCTTAATTGTATGAAATTGAAATATGAAAGTGGTATTGTATGTCTAAAATGAAATGGAAATTGGAATTGAATGTATTGTATATATGTTTGAGTGTATAAAATTGTATTTATTGGAATTGTAGTATACTTGTATGAAATTGGAATTGTTGTATAAGTATTGTAATAACTAGTAACAACAACAAGAAAAATCTATATTGGAAGGTTCCTTCATTTTATTATTAATTCTTTATTAGACCATTAAAGACGTAGTAAAAATATAAGTATTGTAATAACAAGAACAAGAAAAGTCTATCGCTTGCATACGACGCCTCCCCCCTTCTATACCGCTTTGGCAGCTCAAGCTTGGCAATGCAAGTTCAATGAGGATCCGTCTTCCTGGCTACCCTTAAACTTAGCAACAGAACAATCAGTTGTAAATGAATTGGTACTCACAAACTTACTATCTCCTCCCATCACAGGCATTAACACCCCCATCTTCACCTTGCTCACATAGTTATTCCTATAAGTCTGTCCCAGAACTCCGTCCACTTCGTTACTCAAGGAGAAGAACTTGAACTTGAGATCAAGATGAGCAAAGCAATCGTCATTGGTTATATCATAGTTATGGATTCTTGATTCTTCATTTGTTATTGGAACCACTTTGGCTGTGATCCTGAAGAGGTTTTCAACTTCAACAACGATATGGTTGGTGTCATGAATCCTAGTGATTGATGTCGTAAAAGATTGCCATTTGGCACCTTCGCTTTTTGGGATAAAGATGTTTTCCCCGTCAAATGTAACAGAGATACGGTCAATGGTGTCATCCCAAGAAGAAGTCTTTTGAGCACTGATTTGTACTTTGTGGTTGTCGAAAAGAATCCCATAGATTGGACCCAAGTAAGTCTCTGCCCATGTTTCTGTTTCTCTTCCCAATGAAGTGGCCATTGATGTGGAGGTTGTTATCGGCAACAAGGCAGAAATCTTGATCCTTCTTTCCATGGAAGTAGAAAGTGATGCCGTCTCCACAACCAATGAAACGAGGGTCTTGCTTTACACAGCCTATCGCATCATCTTTTTGTTTACAATGAGACATATTATATGCACAGACACTACTATTTATGACAGAATTGCAACATTATAGATCCTGCTAGGTTTAAACGTTATATTAACCATAGTATCATTTGTACATGATGGAATTAAACCTCAATAATTTGATGTCAAGATGGACTTCCTCGTATATGAAATTTTAGTATTTATTAATTAATAAAGTGAAAACATAGAGTTACAAGAACTTACTGCAAACTGGCTTGCAAGAAACACAATCAACTTCACATTGACCAGGACAAGAAGCAGGGCAGACATGCTCGGAGGCATAACATTTTGTGTAATTGTGGTTTTTGCACTTGACTTTCTTTGGTTTCGAAGGTGGAGTAGACCATGTAGGAGGTGCAGGTGAGGATGGTGTTGGTGGTGTCGGACTCTTTTGTGGTGCTGTGATGCAGGGGTGGTTGGAGGTGGTGACGATGGTGTTGGGTTGGAGGTGTGGACTCTTCTGGTGGTGTGGGGGTTGTGGGAGAGGGTGTGGATGGGGTGTTGGTGTTGGAGGTGTGGACTATGTTGGTGGTAAAGTGTGGTGTGGGAGGGGTGGGTGGTGAGTAAGGTGTTGGTGTTGGAGGTGTGTACACTGGTGGTGTGGTGCAATGTCGCCACCACAAACAGTTTGCATGATTGACAATTAACAGTGCAGCTATCTGGACAAAACTTTGGACAAACATGCACCAAGTTATGACATTCTTTGTAACTCGGGTCCTTACAAGTTGCATGGCTAGGGTTGTTAATTCCAGGTGGAGTTTGGGCATCAGCAAGAGCCACCAGTATGAATATCATAAGTAACATAACATGACAAACCAACGACTGAGCCATTGCAGCCGGCCTGACGTAAAACTCTAAATTAATAGATCTTGAATTGAGTTGTAATTAATGGAACGGTATACTGAATTGTTGTCTATGTATTGAATTGGACAATTGGTGCTTATTGACACTGATAATCTCCATATATATAGTTTAATGAATGCATGAACCTCCATAATCTATATATTAAGTAATAATTAAGTACCTTCAGTTCAAGGTATCTTTCAGACCCCTTCATACTGCTTTTAGTGTATATATGGCATCCCTGGCACATGCAACACTTTCTACAAACAGAATCCAGCTTGTCACATACTCCACCAATGTTAACGAACAATTAGAATGGCACCAATCGCGACTCTTGCATCGCAAGCATTTAGTGAAGCAAATGTTTAGTATTACCTATGACAAGGGGCGTGGTAAAAACTAAAAAGGAGGTTTATGGTAGTCTTTAGAAAATTAAAGTTGTAGGGTAGTTTGTGAACTCAAGTCGGTAGAATGAGTCAGTTTTAACCCATTTCAATAAAAATGAGTTCCTACCGCTATATGTTTTAATGGGTCGCGAATAGGTAAGTAAAGTTAGCATGTACAATAATAAAAATGAAATGAGTCAAGCTATGAAAATGTCATCCAAAATAGACTGAATTATTCACCATCTTTAAAATCATTTTATTTATAATATTGGATAGCATGTAATTGAAATGAAATGAGTCAAACTATCAAAATGTCACCCCAAATATACTGAATTATTTACCATTTTAAAAATCATTTTATCTAAAATTTGGATATCACTATTTTAATTGGTGGTGGTGTTTATAATTAATATTTAGGAATTAAGATATTAGTTGTTTACGGAACTTACGTACAAAAGATGGTCAACAGAATTGTTGAAATGTTATTCGGGACCGACCCCTACTTAAGATACCAGACTTTAAGATAAGAAAGATGACAAACTTTAAATCGAGGCTTCAAAAAATCTCAACATGTTGACGTAAGTTGCAATACGAAGCGATCCTTTTTCTATCTACATTGACTTCCATGAGTACCATCTCAAAATAACAGTCATCTCATATTATATTTCCTCATAGAATATGTTTACCGAGGCATCTTAGTTTCACATGCTCATCAAAGTCAAAGTCATCCCATAAAACACCAAATGCCTTTTATTTTCTTATACAAGTGCTATTTTATAGAATGTCAGTAATACAGAAACCCAATCAAAATGTCACCCAAAATATACTGAATTATTTACCGTCTTTAAAATCATTTTATTTATGAAAAATGGATCATTATGTTCGTGGTAGTTTTTATAATTAATATTCAAGATAGTAGTTGTTTACGCATTGCAGAACATACAAAAGATGGTCAACAAAATTGTTGATATGTTAACCGGACCAACCCGGTAATTAAGATAACATGTTTTAAGATAGGTAAGATGACAAACTTTAAATACCAAAAGACCTTTGATCTAGCGGTAAGGAATGATCCTCTCAAATGAGAAGTCATGGATTCAAGTCTCTTATGAGACATATGTGATATTTAAGAGTATATTTAGATATTTTGCGGTTTAGAAAAAAAGGGACAAATTTTAAATTGAGGCTTCAAAATTCTCAAAATGTTTAAGTAAGCCCCAAGAGGAAGCGGTCCTTTTTTCTATGTACATTGACTTCCATGATTGCCGTCTCCAACTAACAATCATCTCCTATTATGTTTCCTCATTGAATGTGTTCACTATAAGGCATCTTAGTTTCACATGCTCATCAAAGTCAAAGTCATCCCATCAAACAACAGATGTTGTCGGGGGCAGAACCAGAATGTTTCGTAAGGGGTAGCACAAAATATAAAAAAACCATTGTACCATCATTATACCACCGCGATAATTGCTATATAAAATCCTGACATTTGGCTGCTATTTGATTTTTGACCATTATAATTTCCTAGTGAACGATACTCCGACACATTAATAAAGAACTACAATAAATTCTAAGTTTGATCCACAAAAACATAGCTTGATTTTTTTTTGAACGGCAAATACAAATATATATTAAACTACTCCTAAATTATTTCACCGGATAATTGCTATATAAAATCCTGACATTTGGCTGCTATTTGATTTTTGACCATTATAATTTCCTAGTGAACGATACTCCGACACATTAATAAAGAACTACAACAAATTCTAAGTTTGATCCACAAAAACATAGCTTGATTTTTTTTTGAACGGCAAATACAAATATATATTAAACTACTCCTAAATTATTTCACCTATGTCCACAGTGAGACTTGAACCCTCGACCTCAAGGAGGGAGGGCAACATCGGATACCGCTGGGCTACAAGCCCTTTGATAAAAAACATAGCTTGATGCATTAGGTAAAATAACGACCTCCAACTCCAAATGAGTTCTGCCACCATCGACACCAAGGTTCCTGTGATCTGAATTTGTAGTAACGATTACAATCAAAGATCAACAAAGTAAACCATTACACAACTTGATAATTGAATTATCCTCGGAAGAATTCAAATACTAAATTAAAGAAAACGTAATTATTAATTAACATACAATCTCACATAGTGACAAAAACAAAAATTAAAGAAAACCTTGACCAGTATAGTATACTTGTTTTGGAAGTTTCAAATATCATAGAAATTATGTAACATTTATCATCAATAATTTTTCTACAGCATCTATGATCCAGACTTATGTAACATTTATCAAGAACTCCATTCAAACAATGATATAGTTGTAGCAACAAGATTTTCTCTGCAACTATCTATGATCAAAGAATTCCCAAATTTGTAGCAGCAGATCTCCAAACCTTAACCACGACAAAAAAATCTCAACCAAATTAGTGTTTCTCTATAAATCAAATCAATTTGGATGTTGACGTTAATCATTTTAACTCTCTCTAGTTTGGTATTCTAACATCAAAGAAATGATTTTTTAGCTTCTCAACAGTTTAATGTTCATGAAAAGGTTGGACATTAATCAAACACCTTACAGGCAAAATCTTCATGAACATAATTTTCAAGTAATTATTGATTTGGAAGCAACAAGTCGGACCCATAACATAAATAAACAAACTCACATCATTTATCAAATAAATACAAAGACCCAATTAACAAGATATCATATTGCCTTTGTCTGGGAGAAAAAGGATAAACCTAGACTATACTCAGGCTAACTGATTATTGTCTAGAAATTAACATGTACATATACAAAATCAAAAATGGAAATCGACTAAATTGTTAAGGGATTAAAGAATTACTAGAAAAAGGGGACAAATCAGAGCACTGTTTAGCTGAAATCGGTTGTGATTTTGATTATGCTTGCGATTTGAACCAGTGATATTTGTAGAAAGGGCGAGAATTTAAAGATGCATCTCATACATACCATTGATCTGCCTTATCCTATCTTCTTCTGGGGAATTTTTGAGGGGTAGCCTGTGCTATCCCTGGCTCCGCCCCTAGATGTTGCATTATTTTCTCATGCAAGTGTATTTCATATGATTATTGCCTTTACCGATGCCGGTCTATTAGTTTTCAATGCACACTAATAGAAAGAAAGAAAAAAAACCCCTTGAGTGACATAAGATTTGCGATATACAATAATTTCATGACAGACAAAATAGTCTTTTGCGAGGGGTAGTACAAAAAAATTACAATTGACCTCTTCGTTTACCTATTTTTCGAAAGCGTTTTATCACTCATTCACTCTTAAAATCCATAAGTGTTTCTTTTTTTACACTACATATCAAAGCACCGTTCAAACAATCATCATCATTTTTATTACACAAGTCGGTCTTTAAGAGCTTCATTGCGGAAAAACATTTTCCAATACTTGCGGTTGCGAAGGGCAAAACAAAAATCAACTATAATGATCTATGAACCAAAGAAAAAAGAATGATGTTCTCGGTTTACCATCAAACGATAAAGGGCGGCAATTCCTTCAAGTTAGAAAAAATCTCATCAATCAAAGAGTGATAATAGGTTTCAAGTTAACCATAAGATACACTCTTTTCGAATCATTAAAATTTGTTTTTACAACTTACTTAGCTTCACCTACTTTGATTTTGTCAAACATATAAAATAAATTACAAGAACTCAAAGTTGCCATGTATTCTAGAAAATCGGTGCTTACATAACTAAAATGGTCACCGGATTCTTGAATTTGTATATCCAAAACTGTATTGAAAATATCAATTTCAAAGTGATGTTGATTAGTAACAGTGGTTCTAAGGTTTCTTAGAGTAACATAAAATTTGGACATTTCCACATTTCTAATTTTATGTTTATGACAAAAAGAAAATAATGTTCTCCAACATTGAAGGAAACCCATTATTTATTAAAGCTTTCAATGTTTTCAACGTAACTTTCACCAAAGAGAAGCCGCTTCCAAAATATTTTGATCCTTTCTTTAAAGATGTCTTGACAAGGTATCCGCACTACTAGAAATTGAGGTATCGGTGACGAACAATTTCGTCGCTAGCTATTAGCGACGGTAATTGCCGTTTGAAAAAAGCCTTGTCGCTAAGTGTGAGCGACGGATTCAGCGACGGGTTTAGCGACAGAATAGCAACGGATTACCGATGACACAAATTACTTAGGAAATCTCAAAAGTGTCAAAATCTAATTAGATGGGTAGGTTATTTCCTAGGATGAGCTTTACGATGTTGTTATACATCGTGGCGATTTTTTTGTTTTTTGGCCTCAATTTATTCGTGTTCCGCCTTAAGCTGGTCCCTCATCTCCTTATGAATACGATCAATAATAACCTACAAAACAACAATAACCAAGTTTATATCAAATAAAACATCATGCCATATCATTCAATTGATAGCAAGATACTTTTAAGTTGATAAACAAGCTATAAAGAATTAATACCGACATACTTTAAACTTGAAAAGAGAATTTTTAATTATTAAACATCAGGCCATATTATTCGATCAATAGAAAAATACATTTCTACACACAGCAGAGTCAACTCCGCTTACATGTGTAGACATCCATATATGTAGTATCGACACTTTATTCCTTTATGTTTTATCTAAAGCTTTCCCAATCTTCACTGCAATACTCCAGTGACTTGTATGTACTAGTGACACTAATACAAAATC